AAAGACAATTATTAAAATACAACCACTACTGCCCGGCCGGGCGTGGCTCAGCGGTTGAGCGTCAACCTAGGATCCAGGCGATCGGGGTTCGATTCCCGGTCAGGGCACATGCCCAGGTTGCGGGCTCAATCAATGACTCTCATCATTGATGTTTCTCTCTCTCTCTCTCCCCCTCTCCTTTCTTCTCTCTGAAATCAATAAAGATATATTTAAAAAATAATAATAATAATAAAATAAAATACAACCACTACTGATGAAAATGTTCTGCAGTTACTTAATCTTGCAAATGCACTAAAAACCACTGAATTGTACCCTTTAAAGTGGTGGAGAACTGCAGTATATAATAGCATTAAAAAATGAGAGAAAAGCTCTGCAGGAACAAATACTGAAGTCAGTGGTAATTATGTCTAGAGACTGGTATCATGACCAATATACTCCACCCCCACCCTTCTTTGTTCTTGTTTGTATTCGAATTTTATCAAGACTAAAGACTTTAAGAAAATACAACCATTAAAATAATTGTAGCTAATACTCAATGAGTGCTTACTGTGTACCAGGGACTCTTCTAACAATTTTTAAGTAAAGGTGATGGAAACTTCACAATAGATAGGTTGGATTAGTATCCTCCATAACATCGGGGGAGATTTTAGGCTCAGAAAGGTTAAGTAACTTGCCCAAGAACCCACAGCTAGAAAGCCAAGCTTTGATCTACGCAATCTGACTCCAGCCTCATGCTCCTATTGTTAAAAGTTAGTGTGCCAGGTCACCTCCACTGGCCCATAGCTTTCTTACAGAGGCATCAGTCTCCTAGATTTGGGTGTTTGAAGAGGAAGGGAAAGAGAATATTTTTATAAATGATGTCCAGAGTCACACAGCAAAAGCCCTCCTCCTGAGTTCCCAATTTAAAGCACTCAGAACTAGCCTGGTCCAGCCCCTATTTATACACATTTCCATTTCCGCCGGGAAGGACCGAAAGCAAAGCAGAGACTCAGCAGATCTGATGGCAGACCTTTGAACTTGAAAACAACAGCAGGTTCCTTCCTCAAGCGGTAGTCTCCTGAGCTCAATCAACGTTGTCTCCAGACTCAGCCACTGAATGGCAACCCCGCCATTTACCGCTTTCACGAATCATCAGAATAATCCCAAACCGGGGCATCCAGATCTTTCTAAAACAAGGCTGCAAAAAGCCAGCACGGTCCTACTTGCTGCTAATCCTGTAGCCCTCTGCTCTGCAAACTTCCTGTGAGATTTTTTGTTGTTGCTTCCTCCAGATCTGGGGATTTCTTTTGCTTTTAAATCTCAGTACTGGGAAGACAGAAGAGGAAATCCCAAATGAGACACTACCATTTGTCTGTCTTAAGAAGGATTATGCTTTATTTATTTTCTTTTTGGTTCAACTTTTTTACTGCAGACATTTCCAAACATACTCAAAGTGGAGAGAATATGTAAATGAACTTCCTTGTATCTTTCGCTCAGTTTTGACGATTAAAAATATTCTACCATGCAATAGTGCTGTTGAGAAATACCCACTTCACAGATGAGAAAACTGAGGCTTAGAGAGGGGTAACGTCACATGCCTCTTAAAACTAAACACCGGGTAAGTGGGAGAGCTCAGATTTCAACCCAGACAGTCTGAATATAGGGGCACCCCCTCTTTTGGCCCCCCTCTTTCACCGTTACCCTACACCTCCTCCCAGAACCAGTCCTGCAACCTGAATTCACTCCAGCCCAGCATTCTACAGAGGGAAAAAGTGAGGCCCAGAGCGGGGAAGGGACCTGCCCAAGGTCACAGGGTGCAGGACTCCTGAGTCCCAGCCCAGGGCTCCTTCTGGGGCTTCGCTTCTCCCTCTAGAGAGGGCACAGAAGGGAAGGGTCACCCCTGGGGACAGGTCCCAGGGGAGGGCCAGCTGCCATCGCGCCGTCTGCCCTGCTGTCAGACCCCCGCGCGAGTCTCCTGTGGGGTCGCCTAGGGGAACCAGGGCGACGAGCAGATGTGGGAGGGTAGGAACAGGAGCGCGGGCTCCAGCTCCACGTGCTCCCCGCCCTGCTGCGGCCCCCGCGCGGGGGTCGCCCCAGGAAGCCGGGGACTAGGAGAGAGGGTGCAAAGCCCCGGCCTGGGCTGGAGGGGCAGGAGAGCGCGACGACTTCCCCGCACCCCTCCCGGCCCGCCCTGCACGCCGCCCACGCTCCGGTGTCCAGCTGCAACCCCTTGCTCGGCGCCCTCTGACCCCTGACCCCAGCCCTCTGCTCGGGCCATCCCGAGCACCCCTCGGATTCTTACACGCGCCGCCCCAGCAACCCGGACCGCGCCCCGGGCTCGGCACCGTGCAG